TTTTTACATGTTTTGTTTCTTGATTATTGAATGAAACATAAGATAAATCAATCTAACTAATTGTTACCTTAAATTTTGTGCAACTATAGTTAAAGACTTCTTCTTATTTTGTGGCAAAATTAAGGCGTTCGAATTAATAAAGTATGTTATATAAACATTCGATTAATCCTCATTATTTTTTTATTTCATCAAAATCCTCATTATTTTATTAACGTCTTTTATTTCATCGATAATATCTTTGTAGAGAAGAAAATAGTGACAAGCAAATTGCCTATATCACATTTGAACGAGAAACTGCTGTAAGAACTGCCCTAATGTTGACAAAAGCTGTAATTGGAAATTGTCAAATCACTGTCAAACCTGCTGATGATGCATCAAGCAGCGATGAATGTTTAGATGGTGGTGAAGGATATGATGGTCAAGAAGGAAAATCAAAAGTAGCCATACTCGCGGAAATTATAGCTACCGGTATTCAATTACAAGAAAGCATACTCAAGAAATTTTATGAATATGATGGTATGTGATTCCATAAAGTCCTGTTTCATTATGAGTTAGCCTTAGGTTCTTATTTAAATCATATTAATGGATTTATTATTATAAATTATTAGCTAAATATCATTATAGCGAATTTTTCATGCAATATTTTTCCCCTATCCAGGAAAGGAGTAAGTTTAAATTATATATAAATATATATATATTTTTTTTTCATAACATTTGCTATTTATAACTAAAAACCGACTTAACCTTTTTTTTGATTTATTAGTTTGTGCAATTAATGACAAATATGAAATATCCAATACTGTTACCGCCAAAGCACAGGAGTTTGAAAAAAAGTATGCCTTTCAAGATAAAATCAAGTTAGCTCAAGACAAAGCAAACTGTGCACTATGTTCACCCACTGGTCAAAAAGTTGTTGACCTTTATACAAATACAACGAAACAACTCTGTGATATTCATTGTTTGGCAAAGCAAATCGCAAGTGAGAGAAAAGCACACGTTGAAGCTCACAAAGCTCATTAAAAAAAAAAAAAAAGAAACCCCCAAACACGTAGTATATATTACCCATAATATTCATTATATCGTATCATATATATCTCAAAGTAGTTAATATAAATTGAACGCTTAGTTTTTTCTTCAAATAACGAACATTCTTTAAGATTTCGTGTTATCGTAGTTTTAGTCCCAAATTTTCGTTTCATGTAAAACAATAAGTAAGACGTAACCCAACATGGTCGATCTTCGATTATCGATTATCATAGCATGTATAGCATGTTTACGTTAAAAAAAAAAAAAAAGTTTATCCGTTCACCCTGACGCCTAAGAATCATGTGAGATCGGTCCGATCTTTTCGCTTGATAGCGTTAGCCTTTCTAAATTGAGGGATAAATCTCTAATACAGATTACCCTCATTAAAACTTTAATTACCCATTCTTTGTTGATATAACGATAAGGGTATTATTGAAATAAAGAATTTTCATTATTCTATTAACGTTAATAATATTTAGCGCGTAATAAAGTTCACTAACGAAAAAAATAATTTTATACGTATATCTGTATATATTGGATTATAGTTCTACGTATAATTATTAATAAAGTTAATAAAAATGCTGCGGCTAATATATTCATCTATTATAATATATATGGTAAAATTATGCTCCGACTTTAAAATGCCTATTTACAACAAATTCGGGATGCATGAAATAGATGACTCCGTAGTACAGTAGTATGATTACAACAGTAAGATAAAATAAATACTATAGGCTTATTATATACTACATTCTACGTAACACCAAACCTTGGTTTATACCCCGGATATATTGTATGGTTAGGGGAATATTACGTGGGGTATTTTGTATTTTCATGATAGTGGATCTAGCCTTAATCCTCTATGATTCTATTTTTTTTTGCCATGATTTATTGGGGTGTGTAACATCGGCATAGTGATAGTGCAGGTCATATACTAATCAAGATTTTTAGTGTACTGTTAAGATCAACTAGTAAATACATGGAAAGCTCAAGCTGCAATAACTCTTGAACCAGAAAACCCACACAAATAAAATTATATTTGTCGGGTTCGTTATAATGTGCTCTTTAACGTAATAACACTCCTTTTTTTATTCTATTGTCTGAAGCGTAGCGGAGGAAATAAAATAATACCAAAATTCTCGTTTTTTTTGATGTATTATTAATAAAAATATCAAAATGGTACTTTGAATTTTTCTGTGCATATTGTGACACAATATGCAATAGTTACATTTACGAATTCTGAGTCCCTGCTACGCTCCAGGCAATAGCGATAGAAATAAAAAAAAGAGCGTTATTACGTTAAAGAGCGCATTATAACGAACCCGACAAATGTAATTTTATTTGTGTGGGTTTGCTGGTTTAAGAGTTATTGCAGCTTGAGCTTTCTATTTTTTACTATTAAATTAACATTAATGATCATTATGATCATTATATGACCTGCACTATGTTTGTAATTAGACCGATGGTACACACCCCAATGATTTATGTATAAGGACATTCTTAGCAGCAGCACTAGGAATACCCGCAATTCATTCACTCTTGCCAAGTCGTCACAACAGGTATGGGCTAAATAATTTTCAGAAGATCAAAACCTGCACAGTATCTATAATTCCAATTGTGGTCACATTCTCATGCTTTGATTCTTCCAACACAATCGTATTTTTTTTTTTGGATTAAATGTCTCAATTTGTTAATTGTTGCGTTAATTGTTCTTATGATAAACCTCCGCCATGTGACTTTACATGCTAACCAGCATCGGTATCGGGCACTTGGACCAATTTTATTTCATTGAACTTAAACTGAAACATTGAACTCACTGATTCCGATTTAAACTTATAAGTTCAATTCTAATTCTAATTACTGAACTCATAACACTGATGCCAGCAATCGTTCCCCTGACAGTTAAGGTTGGCTCTAGTGCTAGAGTTATTAATAGATTGAATTGGTTGTTCCAATCCTCAACCCACTACATTAAACCCACCCTTTAACTTGATACTACTCCACTAACAACCCTAATTAGCCTGATTTAGAGTTAGCATTAGTAGGAATTATTGGTGTCAGTGAATAATAAATAAGCCCACATGATGCGAGTAAATTAGAAGTTTCGAAATCTGTAATGCTGATACCATGACAAATTGGGGTATTTCATATACTAATTAATCAAACATATGCGAGGTATTATAGTAAAAATCAATAGTACAGATTTTATG